AAAAACCATTTCCCAACACTCCCTCCACCAATAAAAGGAGACCACACTTTGTTGGAGTAAAATGGCCTTCAAGGCCTTTTATTAACAATTTAACTTAAATATACAGAAAACATTCCTTAAAACAGAAACCTCCATAAACTTACGGAATGAGTTGTTGGTCTAGGCAGGCACCCAAGACAATATCGATCTCCCCCTGCAGAACCTTCACCTTAATGTTCCTACTAGGCCTCCATCCGCAACGCACCGACTCGGAGACAAGGACACACCTTCTGCAGGTAGACCTCCACCTTTCAGTTAAACCTCGGTTAACTGGAATTTACCCGGGCACACCACTCCACCGATGGGTCCCAACCATACCACAGATGGGTCCCAAACATACCACAGATAGGTCCCAACCACACCACCGATGGGTCCCAACCATACACTTATCATTCTGAACAATATTGATCTCCCGCTGCGGAACCTTTACCTTAATGTGCCTACTAGGCCTCCATCCGCAACGCACGACTCGGAGACAAGGACACACCTTCTGCAGGTAGACCTCCACCTTCCAGTTAAACCTCGGTTAACTGGAATTTACCCGGGCACACCACTTCACCGATGGGTCCCAACCATACCACAGATGGGTCCCAACCATACCACAGATAGGTCCCAACCACACCACCGATGGGTCCCAACCATACACTTATCATTCTGAACAATATTGATCTCCCGCTGCGGAACCTTTACCTTAATGTGCCTACTAGGCCTCCATCCGCAACGCACCGACTCGGAGACAAGGACACACCTTCTGCAGGTAGACCTCCACCTTCCAGTTAAACCTCGGTTAACTGGAATTTACCCGGGCACACCACTTCACCGATGGGTCCCAACCATACCACAGATGGGTCCCAACCATACCACAGATAGGTCCCAACCACACCACCGATGGGTCCCAACCATACACTTATCATTCTGAACAATATTGATCTCCCGCTGCGGAACCTTCACCTTAATGTGCCTACTAGGCCTCCATCCGCAACGCACCGACTCGGAGACAAGGACACACCTTCTGCAGGTAGACCTCCACCTTCCAGTTAAACCTTGGTTAACTAGAATTTACCTGGGCACACTATACCACAGATGGGTCCCAACCATACCACCGATGGGTCCCAACCATACACACATCATCACAAACCATTAACAACCTACCAAGACCAACAACTGCCACCAAACTAAACAAGCCAAACAGAACAAACACCCCAGGGAAGGGCGGGCGGGCAGGCGGGAACTTCTCTCTTCAGCTGCTAACCAGCACTGGCTCTTCTGACCCCCCAGCACTCCCCCAAGATTCAGGATGATCCCACCCAAACCTACTAACACCAATCAGGTAACCTTACTATCTTTTTTTAACCCTTCCCCTTTAACTTAACCCTTTCCTGTCTTTTCTCCCTCTTCACCTAGTCATGTCTGCCCTGCGCTATTCTTCTCTTTCTTTGTTTTTCTACAGGCACCCCTAGAAACCTCTGGGAGAAGTTCTTGTCTAGGACTTGGCATAGAGGGATTTTGCAGACACAGCCATGAATTCCAAGTGTTTTGTTTGGAGGTGCATTTGAGCCAAACTTGAAATAATAGCACGAAAATAAATACAAGAGACACAGCCTAGAGCACATGTGCCAAATACATTTCATGGGGTCCTCGCCCCTCTCCTGCAGTTTCGGCACCCCGCTTGTCTCTGCCACCACTTTGTCTCAGCAGTTGGCAGCAGAGAAGAGAAACAGAACTCCTCTTCCAGACCCTGCAAAAAGGCTCATCTCTGCCACCCTCCACAGTCTCGACTGAGAGGAGTAAAAAACTCCTCCTACAGATACCGCACCTCTCTGTGCAGCCATAGCACCCCTTTGTCTCTGCCCACGCTAGTCTCAGCATTCAACAGTAGAGAGGAGGACAGAACTCCAGCTGCAGCAGTGTAGAGGCACGTCTCTGCTCCCCTTTCATAGTAGTCGGCAGCAGAGAGGAGGACAGAACTCCTCCTACAGATCCTGTGCCTCTCTGTGCAGCTTCAGCACACCCTCATCTCGGTATTCAACAGACTCTGGCAGCTGACTCCAGCCCTCCTTTGGTCCTCCTCCAGACCAGGGACGGACTGACCATTCGAGCACTCGGGCACTGCCCAAGGGCCCGGGGTCAGTAGGGGGCCCCATAAAATGACCCTGGTACCTTTTATAGGCTTTTTTGGGTATGTTTTGAGTGTGGGCAAGGACACAGGGGCCCCATGATCCCCCAAATGCCCGGGGGCCCCATTAGTTGTCAGTCCATCCTGCTCCAGACCCTGCACTTTCTGCTTCCCAGCTCCATCCACAGATTCTTCTCAGCAGCAGCACAAGGTAAGGGGGGGGGCACTATCCGATCTAGTCTGCCTGACCGTTCTCAGGCAGACCCAATCGGACCCTCCATTCACCTCTCTGGAGCTGCAGATGTTAAAGGAAAAATCCCATAAAATCCCATTAAGCACTTTAATGTTTTATATATTACATCATTGTTTTAGATATTTGCATATTTATTTAGTATTTCTGATGTGTAAACTTTGTGTATCGTTTCCCGTTGCACTTAGCCCTTCATACGTTACAAAGAGATACTAATAATACTTTAGGTACAGAGCAGTTTAATTGCACTTTATTGATTCTATAACATGTGAGAGTATTGGAATAGAACCTTCTAATCAGCTTTGTCTCTTTTGCATTGATGTTCATCACTGCCAGATCGCTGCTGTGGGATTAGTAAGAAGCACTAGCATATACCGTGGCGCAGCTCAAAATGTTTTCCTGTAAGCTGCAGATTTGACTGGAAATGATTGCAGAAAAGGGATCGCAATAAGAAACAGAACTGAAACAAGGGAGACGAATTGCACAGAATGACTGAAAAGGAGATGTAGGGTTAATCAGAGGAATTCAGAAAGCCCTGCTCAATCTGGGGAGCAAGGAATCATAGGTAATGTTCATAAAAGGAAGGTAGGCAAAGCTAAAGTGTTACTAAACCCATAAAACCCCAAGGACAATCAGTCTGTAGATGCCAGTAAAGCGTGCTTGTTATACTCACTGTGGGACCTAAGGGGTTAATATTCCGCATTGTGAGTAAAAAGGCAGTTTGATGCTGTCTTCTTCTGATCCTCCCTTCTTCCAGTGTCCCTCTTTTATCTCTCCTGATAAGGACATACTCGTGCTCATTTTCGAGAGTGGATTGTCTGTGTACTGTATGGGAGAGCGGCACATGCTCAGTTTCGTGAGTATTGCTATGCGGAGACGGGGAGATTGCAGTTTCCATTTTCTGTGTCTGTGGTTGAGAGCGGGATATAGTGAATGCAGGGGTACGGGGAGACGCGGATCTAGTGAATGCGGGGTCGGGGAGGAGAGGATATAGTGAATAGTAATGCGGGGGTTGAGGAAATAGTGATGCGGGTCCGGAAGCGATATAGAGATGATGGGGTCACGGGGGAGATAGCGGTGATCTATAGTGAATGCGGGGTCCAGGGAGAGAGGGATATAGTGAATGTGGGGGTACCGGGGGGCAGCATCTAGAGATTCGGGCTCCGAGGAGAGCGGGAATATAGTGAATGCGGGGTCCGGGGGAGAGCGGATATAGTGAATGCGGGGTACGGGGAGAGCGGTTATTATATTGCAACATGTGGTGGGTCGGGGTTAAGAGACGGGTTATAGTGAATGCGTGGGTCGGGGCGAGAGCGGATATAGTGAATGGTGGGGTCGGGGAGAGCGGATATAGTGAATGCGGGGTCGGGGGAGAGCGGATATAGTGAATGCGCGGGGTGTCTGGGGAGAAGCGGAGTTATAGTGAATGCGGGGTCCGGGGATATAGTGGAAGCGGGGGCGGAGGAGAGCAATATAGTGAATGCAATGGGGTCCGGGGGGTTAATGCTGGGTCCCTGGGGACACGGATAATAGGTGAATGCGGGGTCCGGGGGAGAGCGGATATAGTGAATGCGGGGTCCGGGAGAGCGGATATAGTGGAATGCGGGGTACGGGGGAGAGCGGATATAGTGAATGCGAGGAGGGGTCCGGGCGAGAGGGATAGGAAGTGCGGGGTCTGGGGGAGAGCGGGGATATAGTGAAAAATGAATGCGGGGTCCAGGGGAGAGCGGATATAGTGAATGCAGGGGTCCGGGGAGAGCTGATATTAGTGAATGGGGGTCCGGGGAGGCGGATATTAGTGAATGCGGCGTCTGAGGGAGAGCGGATATAGTGAATGCGGGCGGTCAGGGAGAGCGGATATATGAATAGCGGGGCTGAGAGCGGATATAGTGAATGCGGGGTCGGAGTGAGAGCGGATATAGTGAATGGCGGGGTCCAGGGAGGAGCGGGCTCCGGGGAGAGCAGGATATAGTGAATGCGGTGGTCCGATTATAGGGAATGCAGTTCTGGGTGAGTTATAGTGAATGCGGGGTCTCTTGGGGGGAGAGCGGACTTATAGTGAGAATGCGGGGTCCGAGGGATGTGAAGCGGGGTCCAGGGAATTATAGTGAATGCGGGGTCCGGGGAGAGCGGATATAGTGAATGCGGTGGTCCGCAGGCAGGACAGAGAGCGGATATAGTGAATGCGGGTCCGGGGAGATGCGGGATATAGTGAATGCGGGGTCAAGGGAGAGCGGATATAGTGAATGCGGGGTCCGCGGGAGGAGCGGAATATAGTGAATGGAGGGTCCTAGGGGAGAGCGGATATAGTGAATGCGTGTGTCCGGGACGAGCGAAATATAGTGAATGCGGGGTCTGGGCGAGAGCGGATATAGTGAATGCAGGGTCCCGGGAGATGCGGATATAGTGAATGCGGGGATCCGGGGAAGATGCGGATAATAGTGAATGCAGGGGTCCGTGGGAGAGCGGATATAGTGAATGCGGGGTCCAGGGAGAGCGGATATAATAAATGCTGGGGTCCAGGGAGAGCGGGGATATAGTGAATGTGCGGGGGTCCGGGGGAGTGAGCGGATATAGTGAATGCAGGTGTTTCCGGGGAGAGCGGATATAGTTGAATGCGGGGTCCAGGGAGAGCGGATATAGTGAATGCAGGGTGTCCGGGGAGAGCGGATATAGTGAATGCGGGGTCCAGGGAGAGCGGGATGGATATAGTGAATGCGGGGTCCGTGGGAGCGAGAATGCGGGTCCGAAGGAGAGCGATATAGTGAATGCGGGGTCCGGGGAGAGCGGATATAGTGAATGCGGGGTCCGGGGAGAGCGTATATAGTGAATGCGGGTCCGGGAGAAGCGGCATAATAGTGAATGCAGGTCCCAGGGAGAGGCGGAATAGTGAATGCGGGTCCCGGGGAGAGCGGATATAGTGAATGCAGGGGTCCGGGGAGAGCGGATCTAGTGAATGCAGGGTCCTGGGAGACGATATAGTGAATGCGGTCCGGGGGAGCGATAAAGATGACTGCGGGTCCGGGGAGAAGCGATATCGTAATGGGCGGGGGTTTCCATGAAGAACGGGATATAGTAGAATGCAGGGGTCCAGGAGAGCGGATATATGTGAAGCGGGTCCGGGGAGAGGCGGATAATATGAATGCGGGGTCCAGGGTTAAGTAACACTTTAAGCACAACTGAAAGCTTTAACAAACTGGCAGAACAGTTCACCAAAAATTCTAAGGCATGTTCAAAAAAACAATCAAAAGGGGAAAGGTATTCAAGAGTCAAACTTCCAATGAACAGCTCTTACTGTTGAAACACAAAGGCAGGAGGTCCCCCACACCATGACACCAAACCCCCACCACCTGAACCATTGATAAAAAGGGGGAAAAGGGTCCATGCTTTAAAGTTGTTTCCCCCCAAATTTAACCCTACCATCTGAATGTCCAGTAAAATTTCCAGACTCATCAGACCAGGAAACCTTTTTTTTTTCCGATTTTTCAATTGGGCCCAAATTTTTGGTGACCCGGGCCCAAATTGTAGCTTTTTTTTCCTGTTTTTAAAGCTGACAGGGTTGGCCCCCGGGTGGGTTTTCCTCTGTTTGTGGGGCCCATCTGCTTAAAGGGTTGGGATGTGTTTTTGCTTTCCCAGAGATGGTATTCTGCAACCTTGGTTGAAAGGGAGGGGGTTATTTGAGTTACGTTGCCTTTTCTATCATCCCCAACCATTGCCCATTCCCTCTGACCTCTGACATTTAAGACATTTTCCACCCCAAAAAATGCCACTCACTGGATATTTTTCGTTTTTTTCGGACCCTTCCCCCTGTAAACCCTAGAGTATGGCTGTGCAGAAAATCCCAGTAACCGCAGATTTTGAAATACTCAGACCAGCCCGTCCGCACCAACAACCACGCCACATTCCAAGTCACTTAAATCCCCTTTCTTCCCCATTCTGGTGCTCGGTTTGCCTAAAATGCATGGAGTTGCTGCCGGTGATGTGCTGATTAGCAAATTTCGTTACCAAGCAATAGAACAGGGGTGTAACCTAATAAAGAGGAGAGCGAGTGTATACTTAGGGGGTAAGAGTGCAGGTTTAGTGCTTATTTTTTTAGGGGGATGGATTTGGTGTTGACATATTAATTTCAGGTACTTATATAGCGCCGGCAATTTGTGCAAGCACTTACATATATATAGTACATACACATCAGTGTCCCCCCGCCCCCGGAGGAGCGTACAATCTAAGATCTAAGGTCCTGAACTCACATTCATGCATGAACAAACGCGGACCCAATTAGACAGGAGCCAATTCACCCCTCCAACATTGTCCATTTGTTTTCCTTTAATTTATTTTAATTTATTTAAGGTACTTATATAGCGCCCGTCAAATTTACGCCGCGGCTGCTTTATACATAATATATTGCTACACTTCATCATCAGTCCCTAACCCTCAAGGGGCGTACAATCTAAGGTCCCTAACTCACATTCATATACAAGGGCCAATTTAGACAGGATCCAATTAACCTCCCAGCATGTTCTGTTGGAGTGTGGGAGGAAACCGGAGTACCTGGAGGAAACCCACGCAGTCCAGGGAGAACATGCAAACTCCAGGGAGGTGGTGCCGTGGATGGGATTCGAAACCTTAGTACTGCCAGGCGGAAGTGAGGCTAACCATTTAGCCACTGTGCTGCCCCGCATATAATGCTCATACATCTTGTGGGTGGGGCCAGTGGCAGACTGACCATTTGGAAACGTGGGCACTGTCCAAGGGCCCGGGGGTCAGTAGGGGCCCCCATGAGATGCCCCTGGTACCTTTTTCATAGGCTTTTTTGAGTTTGGGCAAGGACACAGGGGCCCCCATGATCAGGGGCGGACTGACCCATTTGGAAACTCGGGCACTCCCCAACGGGCCCTGGGGGGGTCAGTAGTGGGCCCCATGAGATGCCCCTGGTACTTTTTTTCATAGGCTTTTTTTTGAGTGTGGGCAAGGACACAGGGGCCCCCATGATCAGGGGCGGACTGACCATTTGGAAACCTAGGCACTGCCCGAGGGCCCGGGGTCGGTAGGGGGCCCCATGAGATGCCCCTGGTACCTTTTTCATAGGCTTTTTTGAGTGTGGGCAAGGACACAGGGCCCCATGATCAGGGGCGGACTGACCATTTGGAAACCTAGGCCCTGCCCAAGGGCCTGGGGTCCGTAGGGGACCCCCATAAGATGCCCCTGGCTACCTTTTTCACAGGCTTTTTTGAGTGTGGGCAAGGACACAGGGGCCCCATGATCAGGGATGGACTGACCATTTGGAAACCTAGGCACTGCCAGAGGCCCGGGGTCGGTAGGGGGCCCCATGAGATGCCCCTGGTACCATTTTTCATAGGCTTTTTTGGAGTGTGGGCAAGGACACAGGGGCCCCATGATCAGGGGCGGACTGACCATTTGGAAACCTAGGCCCTGCCCCAAGAGCCTGGGGTCAGTAGAGGGACCCCATGAGATGCCCCTGGTTACCTTTTTCATAGGCTTTTTTTGAGTTTGGGCAAGGACACAGGGGGGGCCCCATGATCAGGGGCAGACTGACCATTTGGAAACGCGCACGGCACTGCCCAAGGGCCTGGGTCAGTAGGGGGCCCCATGAGATGCCCCTGGTACCTTTTTCATAGGCTTTTTTGAGTGTGGGCAAGGACACAGGGGCCCCATGATCCCCTATTGCCTGGCGGCCCCACGAGTTGTCAGTCCGCCCCTGGGTGGGGCACAGTTTGGAATCTTTTCCCTGGGCAGCTTTGGTAATGGGACATCACAATTCCTCAAGGATTATCCGTACGTGAAATAGCGCACATTTTGCTGACACTTAGATATAAAAAAAAAGAAAGGCGACATCCAAGTAAGGTTGCATGGAGGAATTTGAGCCCAAAAAAAAAAGGACACTTGGGAGTTAAGTGCTCACCCTCTCCCCACCTCCTGTCATCTAGACCATCCATTTAGAATTGAATTGCAATTATGCACCCTGTAATCTCCATAACATTTAGAGCCGCAATTTTCAGATACGTCCTCCCATATACTGTTCTTAAAATCCCTTTCAAAAAAATAGACCAGGGCCCAGGAGAAAAAGAATTTATAGGACTGCAGTCAGAGCATTTGACAAGTTTCAAGCTGGTGTTGAGCTTCGCTCATCTCGCTGGGAGGCTTGGTTCCCCAAAAGGCTCATTCTAAGGGCATATGATAATGCAATTAAGTAATTGTTATGCAGTCACATAAAACTGTGCATAGCCCATGGTGCAAATCTACTTGTCATTAGAATATTTGAAGACCATTTGCTAATGACTGTGTTGCACATCAATCTAAATTAGGAATTAATTCCAGAAATAAGCAGAGCTGGGAGTAAAAATATTCTAGGGCAAAACTGTCGTTTTTTATAATAAAACTGGAACATGCTTGTGACCATCACATAATATATAAATATATATAGTCAAGGTCTAAACTTGGAAAATGGAAAATGGAACATGGTTAATCCCACAGCACGCAGATATTCAGTTTTGATGTTTCAGCCGTTGTCACCTCCTCCAGCTTTTGCTCTTAAGCTTTGGCAAACACATATTTATCAGGGCCTAGAGCAGCAATGGGCAAACTACTGCGCCCGGCGGACCTTTTTAAATCCGGCCCGCGGAGCGTGATACTGTCAGGATGGCTGTCAGGATGTAGGCGAGGGCAGCGTGACGAACTCCTCTCCCTCTCACAGTCCGCCCTGAAGACCGGAACGGTGCCGGGAACACGGCGAGAGGAAACGCGCGCGGAGCAAAGGTAAGTAAATTGAATTACTATAGATCGGGGGGATGAATATACTATAGGGGGGATGAATTACTATAGGGGGGGATGAATTACTATTAATGGGGTGGATGAATTACTATGGGGGATGAATTACTATAGGGGGGATCGGAATTACTATATGGGGGATGAATTCTACTATAGGGGGATGAATTACTATATGGGGGATGAATTACTATAGGGGGGATGAATTACTATGGGGGATGAATTACTATGGGGGCAATGAATTACTATAGGGGGGATGAAATTACTATATGGGGGATGAATTACTATAGGGGGATGTTGGGGGATGATCATTACTATGGGGGATGAATTACTATAGGGGGATGAATTACTATAGGGGGGATGAATTACTATGGGGGATGAATTACCCATGGGGGATGAATTACTATATATGGGGGATGAATTACTATAAGGGGGGATGAATTACTATAGGGGGGATGAATTACTATATGGGGGATGAATGAATAACTATGGGGGCCCCATGAAAATTATATATGAATTAACTATATTGGGGGATGAATCTATATGGGGGATGAATTACTATGGGGGATGAATTACTATATGGGAGATGAATTACTATGGGGGATGAATTACTATGGGGGATGAATTACTATATGGGGGATGAATTAACTATAGGGGGGATGAATTACTATGGGGGATGAATTTACTATATGGGGGATGAATTACTATATGGGGTTATGAATTACTAGGGGGTATGAAATTACTATGGGGGATGAATTACTATATGGGGGATGAATTACTATGGGGGATGAATTACTATAGGGGGATAAATTACTATGCTTACTATGGGGGGGACATATTACTGGGGGATACTACTAACTATGGATGAATTACTATATGGGAGGGACACATACACACTCATTCATGGGGGATCAACTCTTGGTGAATTATCCGGGCCCCCGGGTCCAATATATGAACCCATTGCGGCACTCAAGTCAAAAAGTTTGCCCACGCCCTGGTTTTCCTAGATTCAATTGTGTGCAACTTGGCTGTCCAGTTGAGGTCTTCTGGCTACATCTAACATAGGAAATGATTACTCTATGCGGACCAATTCATATGGGCCAAAAACTGCACTATGGAATTAAACAAACCTGCACTCATGTAAAAATCGCTATCTTGCACTATGGGGGTCGAACCCCCAGCTTTCAGATCTTTAGGGCACTCATGGGCCAGGACCCCCCATAAACTTGGGAAGCATTAGTAGGGGG